ATTTAAGAATTTAAAGTGGTGTGGTTCACAATTCTCTAGGTTAATACTTCATCTCTTTTATTAAAGCAAAATGACAGATTTGCTACTGTGACCACGCAGAACTGTTTTGTGGGAATAACTTAAGTAAAGGATTCCGATTGCTTGGATACACAGTAATTATTAAAGTTGTATATTTTAATACAACTATTACTTAACCTATAAGCATGCAATAGCATATATTTGTTTGTTTACAAGATTATTTCCGACGTTTTCTAAAAGATTGGTGAAGTTAATTTTTTACTCCACTCGTCTTCAGGAAAATGAATTTGAAACAGATAAGATGAATAGAGAAACACATTAATCTCTTCATTATAGCTTGAGTGTCCGTACTTTTGGATGTGTTCAGGTGTTAAGTGGACAGTGTTGATGGTTCTTATTTTGGTTATATATATATATTTCTCATTTGAGTTCTCTAAAGATTTGTTCAGTTATTGTATTTCCTGGCTTGCATATACAAATCTTGTCATATTGTATACGTCCCTTCATGCGTGACAACAAAACAGATTTCAGATCCTGAAACGGCTCACAGCTTGTGTTACACGTATTGTAGGCCATTTTCGCAAAAACGTACACTCAACAAACTTGGAGAAAGTGCATATATTTATGATATATGTAAAAAATTTAACTGCAAAGGAATTTGCTTATTTTGAAAGGGCCGGTAAATACAGCTCTACAAGTACGATAACATATGAACATATGTTTTAGAATTTGAAATAATTATTTTGCAAAACACAAAGAGATTACATTTTTGCCTGTGGCAAACTTAGTCAGACTACGATTACTTTTAGTTTTGTCTCCGACAAGAATATTGATTACTTTCAATCTGTTCTAGAATATTAATCTCAATGAATAAATGAATATAAATAAGTGATTGAATATTCAATTTTATGATTGTGTTATTTACTCGTGAATTATCAATAACTCCTTTTTAAAGTGCCAAAGTTTTCTCACAATAACTTTATAGAAACATAATCATACTTAAAATAATATTTAAAAAGAAAAGTTAGTAAGGTTTCACTATTAGTTACCAAATAGACTAAATTTTGAACGTAATTTGGTCCCTAATTTTTATTGAATTATATAAATTTCAAAAAAAGTTCACAATTATTGATCAAATGCTTACATTTTTACGAAGGATTATGCAAACTCATCAGTATCAACCACATCTCTACACACAAACGATTCAATTTAAAAACTAATCAGTCGCTGCAAATTGATAATTTGCAATTGTAAATCAACCCTTATTTTTGTGATAACAGTGTTGATAGTTAAATCTCTTCAGTGGTCAGTGGAACATGACGAATGACGAACACGATATGAAAGTGATCTTATATATTTCTTTTCGCCTCACTACAAAGTAAGTAGCTTCTTTCTGTACTCTTTTTTAGACTAAAAAGTCGTTGTTTACAGAAAGATACCGGTAAAATCTGCTGGAGTGCGGTAAATGTTAACTTTTGCAAAAAGCGACAACAATAATATAAAATGCTGTTTAAAAAACCTACCTCTCCCTCCTCAGCACGTATAGATTGTTCTGTGTTCACAGGTATAGAATCGTCCTCCGCAATATGCAAATAATGCGATAGTGTAAATCACTCCGATTGACGAGCGCCATCGTGTAGTGTATGTTGTTATGATATTCTACTAACTAACCTATAGAAGATGCATTCCAATAGAAAATATTGTGAAATTCCACACAAAACAATAGTTAATTATAAATAAATTAGCTCAAATATGCTGCTGTATAGATATTCAACCGGTATTAGTTAGGTATTCTATACATTTATACAAGTGGCAAAATTATAGGAATATTTGTAGAGTTATGTTAGTCTACATTTCTAATTTAACAAAAATATGATTAACCCGTTTTAGCCCCATAAAACTACCTTAAAACACCGTTTCTTGTGGTCCAAACATGCTCGTTCCTGAACTAGTTTGAATAAAGTTATCTTTACAGGTTAGTACAAATTGCACGACAATTGGTTGGGTTTTCTTAGATAATATATGTATTTGAACAGATGGTGCTTTTGGCCTTTGGTGTCATCAAAACGAACAAGTAAATCCATCCGGGGCCTAGGTCTTACCACGAGATCTACGATACTATCTAATTTCCTATCTGTGAAATTCGTTAATATAAAAAGCAGGATGGTATTGAAAATAGGATACATCCGACCTGAATTGAATTGAATTGAAAATAAGTTTATTCATCAATCATACAAGTATGTAAATTGAATGGTGTCAAAATTCTTAAACTACATTTAAAAACTTACAACATAATATCAGCTGTACAGTTCATCAAAATTATACAGAACCTTTTGTGTTAAGTATATTTTAAGCTGGGTTTTAAATTTTTTACAATCATCAATTCTCCTCAACCACTCTGGAAGCCCCTCCAAAAATTTTCTTCCGGCGTATGACGGTTTATTGTTGTAAAATTCCAATATATGGACACCAACAGAATATTTTTGATCTAATAGGGTACAAGCAACAAAAAAATAAAAAAAAATATTCTTAAAATGTTTTATTATTTTTTACCTATTTTTAGTGGCAACGTTAAAAGAAAATTACATAATTAATTTTTAATGCCTCTTGACACAATAAGTGCAAAGTTTGGTTTCCCTAGCTTGAATAATTCTTGAAATATAAATTGTTTTGTAAAAAAATACAAAATGGTGGATAGTGGCTAAACGTATTTTTTGTGCCTATGATTATTTGAACAAATAGTTTAGAATGATTGGTACTATTAGCCCCTGAAGTTTGTGACACCCCTTTATGAACACCTTGTATATTTATACAATTTTGTCTTCCCTTTTTGATTCCAGCATCCCAAATACTACTGGGCTACTGGAAAGTATTTGATGTTGAATTGACAAAACAAGATTTTACAAACGATATATTTCGGTATTCCATTTGTCATATTGACAAATGATATGCCGAATTCCCTTACCAAAGGGATTGTAGAATGAGATGAACAATCTGGTTCAAGTTTTTGCTATAAGCAGCTATATGCATAAAGTGCAGAATCTATATTTGCCGGATTAAAATTTGTTGTTTAATAGTTTATACAAAAAAGAAAGTCTCTTTGCACTCAATTTGGTGAACAGAATAGCGATTTAAGAATGAAAAATTATTTTACAGTTGGCTTTGTTAAACTAAAATATGACCCTAAATACTCGTCAAACAGCGCCAACAAAGTGGATACACTATTGGTTCCAACAAGCTCTAGTTGTAAGTATTTTCATTTACTAGAGTATTTTAGGTTTGCAATTTAAAACGTATACTGCTTTATACTTTCAACCTACGTTAATCAATTTGGTTTGAAGTGACTGGAGCTTGATGGTTTTTACTTTTTATGAAACAAAACTAGGGAGACCAGGGAAACTAGGGGGACGTGAGTGCGTTTGCTGGCCTAGTGGTTAGCATCTCGGACTTCGATATGGGAGAGATGGGTGTAATTCCCGGCACATCCTCACTTAAATATGGGTTTGGACCGCTTTGCCTAATAGTATATTTCATACCTAGGGCCGAAAACGAGGTTTTGCCGGCTCGAGATAGTTTTTAAGTTCAAGACGAAGTCGAGAACTTAAATCGATCGAGAGCTGCAAAACCATTTTCGATCCGTGGTACGAACACTATTTTTCATCACACTACTACTATTCACAATAATAATAATGAAAACTGATAGTCAACTTTAAGGATATGTGAAGAAGTAATTTCAGGAATCAGCAAAAATAATAATAATAAATAATCGTGGGTGCAGGAAATGCATATTCAGTATACATGGCGCTTATTGATTATTGCCCTGCTAGCAAAACACCTCAGCACCCGACTTGGCAATAAGTAATAGCCGTAACTCATGTATTGAATAGTCGATGTTTAGTTTTCCCTCCCTTTGGAGAGGTTAGGAAAGCTAATATACATAAGGATTGGTACTCGCTAAACTTATATAACAACCCTCAGTGTCCACTAAAAAATTACACGCAAAAGACTTTTTGAGTGCTTTAAAGAGTGTTTAATTTGTATGCAAGTAACTTACTTTTTCTTATTAAAGGTCTTGGAAAATTAGGAGTGGCCTTCTCTATATTAGCTAAAATCACAGTTATTCGAATATTTGAAATCAACTTGCAATGCTGATTTGATTATAAAATACCCGCACCGCAGCAAACCTGCAGACTAAGCGAATTTAAAGCTGTATGATGGAAGTTTAACTACAATATTTCCATAAACAAGTCATATTTATCCCCATTCAATAACCATTAGATTTAACGTGTACTTAGGCTTGCTGCTACAGGGAAGGTAAAAAATGTTTTTTACTGAATATTAACAGTAAAGCAGAGTTTGGGTAAATTTGCCAAATTCGATCCAAACATATCCAAAAACATGCAAACTACAACAGTTTTATTTTTCTCCATACGAATAACATGGGAATTTCAAACGTACAGTCTTTATGGAATTCATCCGAATTTTTCAATTATACAACAATGCTACAATATAAAAAGTGGTTTGTTTTTCAAGCTCTACACGATGGCTATAAATTGAGCATATTGTTTTAAAGGTAAAAATATGAAAAAACTACATTTAAAAAAATCTCAAAACCATATACCAGTATTAGTCAGTGGGTGCCTATGACCCCATATTGTTAGTTGACAACCTCACTCAAGTTCATGCCAGTCGTATTTCAGTTCAGTAGTTCAGCTCCTGTAAATTTTAATCGAAATCTGACCTAAATTACTTGAGTTATCGTATTCACGGACACATATATATCAAAGTTTCAACGAGTATTGGTGGTATTGGCCACTGGGTGCATCAAAATTAAAAAGTAAATCGGCCCCAGGTTTAGGCATTACCATGAGAGCTACGGTAATAGCTGCTTCCTATAGAGAAATTCGCAAAACCCTTTAAGCTAATACATCCTTCCACTGCCTATCAGAGAGTCTTATTCCTAAGTAGGATGATCAACATACCCAGGGTTGATGTGGTGGATCTCAAGGCGGGGTTCTGAGGCCGAGGGTAGGTCCTGGAGTAGATCCCATCACCGGAGTACTCTTCCTCCGTACTAGCCCCCAGCTGGCCTGCACACACGAACACATCACATATAACACAGCATAAACCACACATTGTAGTCTGCTTATAACAAAGGTTCATAACTGATCATAACTGTTTGTATCTTGAGTTGTACTGGCTTAAGCGAAAACTCAAGCAGGCTCAAAAAATCTCAATATGAGCACTCTTCAAATATACGCCTCTTCAAAGTAAAGGTGAAACGGATGTTAGTATACTCCAACTGAAAACGGGGCTGAGTTTAAAAACCACTATGGATTCTCTAAATGAGTAAATAACCTAAACATGTTTGTATACTTATTGAGTGTATCCTGCACATTATATACGGTACTTCATTTTTCATGCCTATTCATATTTCTATTTATACAGGGTGGTAAAAAAGTCCCTGGACAGTTAAATATTTTAAAAAATAATGCAGATAGAGCTACAATACTTGGTACAACGTTACAGGGCATAAAACTATATTTTAACACATATTCAGTGATCCAATAACTCTTCAGGGGGACGGCCCACAAGGAGTCGGAAGAAAATCTTAAATGGAAGCATAGGTCAATATGCACATCAAATTAAAGGTCTTTTTTAGTAGAATACAATGCCGCAAACCGCACTTCAAAAGGTTGATCCTGCGCAAAATGACAGTTGTTCAAAGATTCATTTAATTTTCATTGTTATTATACGCTTACTCCTCAGGGCACAACCCTAGGAATCGGAAGAAAATTGTTGACGTAAGCATAGGTCGATATGCACATCAAATTAAAGGTCTTTACTAGTAGATTACGATGCCGTAAATTCAAGCTCAAAAGAATGCCTGAGTAAAAAATGGCAGTCGTTCAAAGATTCAAAATGGCGGATTCAAGAAATCTTGTTGTTGTTGTTGTTGACAATTTAGGGTAGAAAGAAGTATTTCTGTAACGTATATAATCAAACCTGAGCTTTTTCGTAGTAAATGTGGCAGCTCCGAAGATATAAAATGGAGGATCAATCTACTTAACGTTTGAAATGATCCGAAAGTACGTGGTGTTCTCAGAAAAAACTACGGATTTTCTGAGAAAAATGGTGTTCAAAGAGGCTTAACTCAAATGTTGAAGTTTCGTCCTCTTATTCGTATTTTATTTTATTTTGTGTGTTTTTGCATTCTTGGAAATTTTTTTATTTGCAAGAGAACTTTTCAAATCCTGGTCTTTTTATATTTAACGACCTTTTTTCTTGAATATCACAATTATAATTGAATAAAATTAAACATCCAGCTCCAGAATAAACCCGCTTCAAATTTTAACAGCAAACGTCAGATTTCAAGGTAAGTACTATGACCTCTTAACTAACCATACAATAAAAATAGACACAAATTCCAATATCACTTTAAATGAGCTATTTCCAAAATGATTAAGTTATATTAAGAGCGTGGGATTGTTGTGATGTTACTCTTAATTGTTATTACACATTTGACTAACCCTTAGACTCGCTTTATTGTTAAATTGGAATTAAACTCAAACAAACATCAGTTATGACCAGTGTCTAAAACTAGATGGTTAATATTAAACATTGGATTGTATTACTAATGGAAGTTTTAGTTATGAATTGAACAACTGTGTCAAGTGCATCGTGGATGTTATTCATTCACGCATTTTAATTAATTCAAAACAATTCGACATTTTTATGACATTGATGGATATGGCAACTAATAGAGACTGTTACTGAATTAATTGAGAATTTTGTATTTTTCCAGTAAACTACTGTTTTCGACTTTTGCCAAACAATTGTTGTAGAAGCAAAACTTTTAGTACAATTATATAAAACTATTGCACATATCCAGTGGCTAAATCAAATTATGTGATTAACTACTTAATGGACAATGTACTTATGATAATTAAGTTTTAAGTTATAAAGACAAGGGTGGTGTATAAAGAATGTTTACGGTAATCTGCGTTACGAAATGCTTATTAATGAAAACTAGAGGTCGTCCAGTGGTCGAAGACTCGACCAAAAATATGTAAGGTACATCCTTCTTTATTTCACCCCACGGTGTAAATAAAACATGTGATTGGAATTCCTTCCATTCGTTTTGATTTTCTGTTAATATTTTGTTGTTATTTCGTCTCCAGCATGGCAACCCATAAGGTCCAAGTCATTTTTTTTATTTTAAATCCATTTTTTGTGTGCTTATTTCTGAGCCTATTTTAATTTATAAAAGGTTTCTGCAAATCTTCAGGGAAAAAACATCCTAACAATATGCATGGATTTTCCCTGCGATGCACACGAGCTGAGAAAAAAGGTTTTAAAGAAACATGCTTGCCTATTGATATATAGGATATGCCCTAAACACATGCCTCGACAAATATTTTAATTTTTAGATATATGAATTAAAAATATATGGATTCCTAAACTTATGCCAATAAGAGATTTAGCTCAGTCCACTGTCCAACTAACAAAAGATTTAAAATTCAATCAATAGTTTTTAGTACTATAAAATTTATCACATAATATTAAATATTTTTGGTATGCTTTAGTGCATTTGGAAAATAAAAGTGGCATAAGCACTATTTAATGTAAGACATTTTATCATACAGCACAATTAATGAATTGCTCAAATGTTGGAAGTCTAAAATGTAAGAATGCAAGTTTGAATATATTTAGCTACTCATATTACTGATAAAATTGAATTATTCTCTATGACCTTTATTTAACAAATATAACTTAATAAAGAGGAATCATGGTTTGTGTTTTGTATTCAACTAATTTAATAAAGCATTTTGATTCAGATTCGTACATTAAATCAAACGAGTGGCTGAAACCATGATGAGTAATTAGATTGATAATTTATTTTCAAGCTGGACTCATTCGTACAAGTACTACGTCTAATTTTAACACACAAGAATTTATGTTTTACAATTAGAACGTGAGATAATCATATTCTCTTTTGGTGCCTCTTCACAGAACATTGCCACGGAAGAAAAAATCCATTCAAAGATATAAACAGATTTTCTAACCTTGCCCCCCATACGTATAATTAGATTCAAACCAATAGAGCCTCAATTCTGAGAAACAAAAATTGTCTTCATGAAACAACTAATGATGTGATCATCGAGGCAGTGAATAGGAATATCAATTTGCTCGTTTAAACTATTGCTCCCAAAGTCCTAAGTAATACACGAAGGTACATCAAGTTAAATTATTGAATCTACAGAGCCGTTTATTGAAATTAACCTTTAGATAATGAAATAGGTATCCCGTAATATATGGGCCAGCTGTAGCCAATTTCTATAACCCATTTTAGAGAGTTTCCCTATAGGGAAGGAGCTATTACCATAGTCTCGTAGTAAGTTAGACCTAGGTCCGGGACCGATTTAATTTATCATTTTGATGTCCCCAGAGGCAAAAACACAATCCGTTCAAAATGTTATGTGTCCGTAAACGTGATTTACTTTGTCCGATTGGTAATATTGTCCGATTTTGATGGAATTTGGCTTGAAGGTGTAGGGCGGCCGGCAATATAAAATTTAATGAGTTCGCGAACCAGCATGATTGGACCATGGAGACGGGGTTTTATGGGGTGGTTTGTGGGGTAAAAATTGGGTTTTCTCACTTCTCAGTGCATTCTGACGGTGACTCAATTCAACCACGTCCATTATTTTACTTTCTCCCTCTATACATAGGCCTGGTATATGGAGAAAGTATTTTTCGTCAACATTTTCGAGTTTGAGATTTGAGTGGACGACCCAAAAAAGTTGTTTTCGAAGTAATGTCTGTGTGTGTGTGGATGTACAGAGTATACATCCAGTACAGCTACAGAACTACAGACCACGCCTGTGGTAGAAAATTGATTAAATTTGGTATGTTGATACTAATCCATGGTATATCCGGGTGTTTTTCATTGTTTTTAAATTTTGATTTTTAATGGTGATTTTCCCATAAATTAACAGAAAATTCGAATGTTCTAAAAAATAGCCCGCACAATTTTGACAAAATTGTAGTGCGATACAGCCTTTTAAATTCTGAACAAAATTGTTTAACTTACATAGCTGGGAAAACTATGGTTTGAAAGCTATTACGGAAAAACGAAAAATTACGGAAAATCGGATTTTTTTAAAAAGCTGGTTTCGAGTAAAGTTAGTATTTTATGGTCCTTATAATTCTAAACTAAATAGTGCAACTTTCATTGCTTTAAAAATTACAGTTCAAAAGTTATTGCAACTTTTGTGATTTTCAAAATATACCCATGATAAAGGGTTTGGACAAGCTAATGGGAGAAAGTATGTGTCACATTGCTGATACCGTGTATTTAATCTTAAACTGGCGAAATATCAAACATTGGAATGTGATGTCAACTTATATTAATAGTAAAAAGGAACTGTAAAAAAAATTTAAGTTCGACTTTAGCAGAGGGTTTTTTTTATAAAGAAGAAGCCTAAAGATTATTTCTGTTCAAATAAAGATTTGTTTGTTATATAAACAGTACTGAATTACTCCATATCTTAAAGCTATTGGTGATTAAAAGGATTAGAAGCTAGGCCTTCTAGAACAAAGTCACGGGTTCCAACCACTAAACCTGACGAGTTATAGTAGTAGTCGAAGGTTATCACTTCAAAACTCACTATCGACATAACATTGTGAGTTGAATTTTAACTCGACTGACAACTCCATCATTTGCCCTGTAATTTAAACCTTCCCACCCTAATTCATGCTGAAGTTTCATTCACTAATTGAGGCCCTTATTGCATCAGTCAACCTCAATACTACATTCACCCTCTGGACTTCTGCTTATTTCCTTTTCTCGTGTTCAATGCTAATTGGTGATCCCAGAATACGAATATTTGTTTCCCTTTTTTAGGGAGAGGCTAAATACGTAAATATTTTGATTATTTAACCAAACGAAATTGCATTGAAAGTTCTTGAAATATTATCAACTGTTACTAGTATCCAGGGCTTGAAACAGTTCTAAACTTCCAACTTCTGATGAATCGCAGAATTTAAGCCTAAATTAACTACTGGGGCGGAGCGGATTTAAAGGTTA